ATAAGAACCAAGAGAGATTATGTAAAGGTGCAAATTTCCAATGATGAATGTCATTATACTGTATACCTAAAATGTACCAATAAAATAAAATTATTTTAAAAACTGTGGTTGAGGATCATGAGATGAAAAATATTCTCATGGACTGTCTGGATCACTACATGGCTGAGAAACAGAAAGGGAAATGGTTTTGTGTAAAAGGGGACAAGCATGTGGGGCAGTTGCACTTTATAACAATTTGTTATTATTAGAACTAGCCATACTCTAGAAGTAACTACATTAATCCCTTCCAAGACTGTCCTGTGAAACCTCCTGTGATCTGATCACTTTCCACTACCCCCTATTTCCCAATAGATCCACCACTTCCTAACAGTACTACACAGAAGAAAAACACTCCAGCACCTGAACCTTTGGAGACTACACCCAAAGCATAGACACAAAACTGCAACACAAACTGCAACCCCAAACCCACTTATTTATTGCAAAGTGCCAAATCTGCAATAAAACCTGAATAGTGAGGTTTTAGTTTGAAAAAAAAACCTCATACATTAACATCTTTTGTCTTAAAAGAAAACCAAATAACACACATGCCATAGGTTTACCACCACTGAACTACATGGTCTCAAATTTGCTTACTGTATGGAAAAGACTATAAATGCAACCTTTCAGTGGAAATATCATATTTTTCTGCTAGTCCTCCTTAATATTATGTCCATATGTCTAGAGCTATTATCTAATCTCCAAAATAGACTTAAAACTTCTCACCTCATGATATTAATGCTCCTAAGTAAGCCCCTCCCACATTAAATCAGGTTGATCTTAAAAATAAAATACAGGTAAATAATCTTGAGTAACTTCCATGGGTGCATCATGATAAATAGCATTGCTGCTTAGGTGTTGTCTTCTTGAAATGCCTCCTCTGGCTGATGCCAAAAGCTTTGCGTTAAGATCAATTATGCACTCCTTTGTAGTGGACAAAAATACAGAAAATCCAATGTTCTAGCAGGCTGAAAAGGCTATCAACAGGATTTGACCATTGAGTCCCAGGCAAATCTTTGGGTGACTACAGTGTAGCCAAGACCTGAATGCAATTTCATAAAGGATCCTAAGCCAGAACTGTCTAACCAAGCTACACCCCTGCATTCCTGAACCACAGAAAACTCAAGAGATGATCATTGTTATTGGTACTTTTTGCAAAAATTCACTAAGGCTGCAGAATTTTAAAATAATGTGCTTCTATACACTAAAAATGAACTGCCTGAAAAACAAAGGAAGCAAACGATCTTACTTCAGAAAAAAATTCAACCAAGAAAGTGAAAGACCTGTACAATGAAAACTAGAAAAGATTGATGGAAGAAATTGAAGAAGATACAAATAGAAATAATAATAATAATTATTATTCAAAGCAATTACTCATTATTATTATTATCATTATCATTATTATTATCATTATTCAGAGCAATCTACAAATTCAATACAATCCTATTACGTTTGCAGTGGCATTTTTCATAGAAACGAAAATAAGGACCATTCACAGAAGGAAGGCCTTTCCCAGAAGACCTCAAGTATCTGAGGCACTCCATCCTGCCTACCAGCATTCCATTATTTACAGTTTATGACCTTGTGTGTCAAATTGCTAGCTCTCTAGCGGCATCTGTCATTGGACACCTTTTCTTTAAACATTGTACTTCTTCATTCCTTGCAGTAGCATCAGATTGTAGATGGTTTCTTTCAAGGAAATAACATACACATTCTACAAAACAATCTGATAAACCTAACATGTAAAACTTTTCATAAAATTATACGGCCACTATAGAAAACAGTATGAAGTTTTCTCAAAAAGTTAAAAATGCAACTACAGTATGATCCAGAAATCCCACTGCTTAGTACTTATACAAAAGATTTGAAATAAAGATCTCAAAGAGAAATCTGCCTTCTTAATGTTCTTTGCAGCAATTTCCCAATAGCCAAGTGGCTGAAATAGCCTAAATTGTGCTCAGTGAATATGTCCCACATGAAACTGTATTGGTCAGCTTTCTGCTGTTGTGACAAAATACTTGAGAATAACAAAAGAGAAAAATTTATTTTGGCTCATGGTTTCAAAGGCTTCAATTTACGGTCAGCTGGTTCCATTGCTACCAGGCCTTTGGTGAGGCAGGACATCATGGTGGTGAGGAGAATGGGCTGGAAAAAAGTAGCTCATCTCAAGGCAGAAAAGGCGTGTGGGGACAGGGACAGAAAGAGACACAGGAAGAGAGAGAGAGAGACTGAAGTTGTGCTAATAGGTTTCCTCCTTCTGCTTTTTTCCACCAAGGCCTCCACAATACTGGATGGTGTCATCCACATTCAGAGTGGGTCTCCCCACTCAGATTGCTGTCCCACATGCCAAATGTACCTAGAAATATCTTCACAGACACAATCAGATGTGTGCTTTACTAGTTTTGTAGGCGATTCTCAATCTAATTAAGTTGACATTCAAGAGTAATCATCACAAGAATTTTTTTTTTCAGTGCTGGTGATCAAACCTAGAGCCTTGCCCAGGCTAGGCAAGCATTCTACCACTAAGCTACACTCATAGATTGAAACTACCATTTTCAGATTTGTTGAGATTTCTTTGTAGTTCAGTACATGTTTAATTTTATTATGATAAATTTTACTATTCAGATTACATACATGTACATGCATAGATATGAGTGAATGGAGATATTAAAAATATTAATAGTAATGGCTTTCTCTAAGTGGTAAGATTGCAAGTAATTTTCATTTTTAACATTTCATCATGTATTTTCTTTCATTATTCCCACTCCTAGGGCCTTGGTCTAGACTTTCATTTTTCTCAGTTGGTTTACTGCAACTTTTCATATACCTCTTTTATACACTCACTTTTAATCTCTTTCCTCCAATGCAAATTCCACTTGGTTTCTAGACATAACTTTTGTCTACATTTTAAATTGTCATAGCTTGGAAAACAACGTAGCAGGTAGTATATTATATAGGTTTGCTTTCCTACTTACAATGCCATTCATTCCCAAAATCTCTCCTTAACCAAACAAAATTATTCAATTGTTTCCTTTTAGAACATTTACCCACTACCCACATCACTGTACAATTTGCTTAGATATCTGAGCTTTTCCAAGAACTCATTATGCTGCACAACTGTTTGCTCCATTGGATTATGGATGCTTCCAGGAAGGAGAATAGGCTTCATCTTTTTCTTCTTTGAACAGTGACTGACATACAGCAAGTATTTCCACAAATGTTTAATAAATCAACATGATGTGCATGGCCAGTGAGGGAACAATTTATACAAATGAGGACTGAAAAACACAGTGAATGTTTAAATAAATAAAAACTTATTATAGTAAAGAATACATTGCCAAGAATGATGGGATAGGTGTGCTTGAAGCAAGAGAATGTTGTGGGCTATTAACGGCAATGTGTCTTGTTCTGTGATAATTTTTTGAACATTCACTGTATTTTGTGAGCCCACGTCACTGACCAATCGATTATGGCCATTTCGGTCAAATAAAAACACTGCGGTGTGTATTCATCCACATTATTCATCAGATCTAGTATGTGCGACTTCTACCTCTTCTCCAAATTCAAAATGAAAGTAAACATTTCGTATTTATTCAGGTTATCAAGGGAACCACGACAGCACAACAGAAGAATGAAAGACTTCCAGAAATGGTTCAAAAAGTGGCAGGAACGATGAGATAAATGTGTTCCAACGACAAGAAGTAAGGGGGGGGCAATATATACGTATTTTATGGAGTAAATTAAAATTTAAACATTCACCGTACTGTGAAAATTTTAACATTCATCTTGTTTGATCACTCCTCATACATGTGTAAGAGTACTTAAAGGCAAGTAAAGCCAAAATACCGTGAAAACACTTTCAAAGGGAAGTTTCCACACAGCCCCGACGCACACCCTCCTCAACTCCTTCAAGCCAGGGTAAGGATGCGCTGTACGGCAAGCCCCAAGAGTCGCGCCGCAGATGACGCAAAAAGCCAAGAAGCCCTTCATTGAGCCATTCAGGCGTCCCGCTTTGCGACACCGGAAAGAGCGGGAAAGTACCCCCCCGTCGGTTGGAGGGAGAGTCTTCGCCCCGCCCCCGCGGGTGGACCGCAGCGCTCCGGGCAGGCGTGTGCCGGGCTGTCCCACCCAGCGCTGTGCGCCGGTTAACATCCCACTCCCTGTCGTAGGTACTATGGAGGCGGCAGTGGAGGGAGAAATAGAAAATGAGGACGGCGACAGCAGCTGCGGGGATGTGTGTTTCATGGACAAAGGCCTGCAGAGGTAAAGGGCGCTCCGCGACCAGGAGCTGGCGAAGACGACTCCTGCTTTCCTTTCTGCCTTGGCGATTCTCAGTGCTCTGCTTGAACTTGCTCCAGTACCCGGTTCTCCACCAGTCTCTAACTCCTGCCTTCTGCTGCGCCTGCTTTTCACGGTTATTACTTTGCTTGTACTTTAGTTGGGATTTTCTCCTATTTTCTCTTACCTTTCTTTTTCCCAGGAGAAAAGAAAGTGACAGTATAGCGTCTCTGGCAGCCGTGGAGGGAGCTCCCGGTACTTCTTAATTGGCTTGGCCTAGATTCTCTTTACCCCCGTTTTAACATATTCTGTACAAACCACTATACTACTTATATTTTTATACTTTTCGAAAGTGCATGTCTTATTTAGTTCACTTTTTCTTTCTCATTTTGCCCGAACTTGTAATTTTTCTCCTAAGTGTTGAAACTGAAATTTAGAGAATCTGAACAATTTTTCTGATTTCATGCAGCTGGTGAACAATTAAATTCAGATTCAAACCCATTTCTAATCTCACTGCATGGTTCTTTTCCATTATCCAACAATGTCTGCATAATATTAATTTCCAGGAGCAGCACTATATCAGAAAGTAAATGTCTTTCATTAAGATGATGTGTTAATAGCATAAGATCTAGCACTAAATGAGAGTTGAGTGACAAAAACTAGACATTTGGCAAATGCTTCTAACAGGAAGGACTTGAGAGTTTGACATTTACAATTGTTTTCTTATTGCTAGAATTAGATTTCTTGGAGTTTTATCATAGCTGCTATAGAACCAACCACAGATGCCTATGACCTTGCATGTCCTTGTTCCTGTCTTTACTTCCTATCCTGTACCTCTAAATTGTGTGCATTATAGTTTGTGTTCCTGGATCTACTAACTACAGGACAGGGTCCAGTTAATTCAGTAACTGAGTGAATGAAGAGATGAGTTTTATTCAGGGGAGGTATATTCCAACTTGGAATTGTGGAAGACAGGGACTTTGTCACTACAGACAGCAATACTTAGTGGTTTCCTTGAAAATCAACTACAATCTGTATTAAATTGCCATTATAGGCCATAAAAAAAAATAAAAGGATATGAATTTTTTTACTTGGCATGGTGGCACACCTGTGATCCCAGCTCTCGGAGGCTGAGGCATGAGGATTGTCACAAGATCAAGGCCAGCCTGGACTCATAGTGAATTCAAGGACAGCCTGAACTACATAGCAAGATCCTGTATCCAGAAAAAAAAAAGAAAAATTTGCAACTGGTAGAGCTCTGCAGGTTACTTAATTTCCATACACCAGTATCCTTATAATATCTGCTGCTTATACGTGTGAGAATTAAATTAGATAAGGAAATTGAGGCTTAAAATGGTTGCCATTTGCTCATGTAACTTCAAAAAAGAGCTAAGTACAGATTTGAACTGGAGTGTTAGAATTCCAGAGCCTTTACAGTCATTGACTGTTCAATACTACCATCACTTTTCTTTGCACAAAGAAGTTAGGATACCTGGGGTCACCCAGTTTCCTTAAATAGTCTCATGTTTGTGTAATCCAAAATACTGGTTTGTGTGGTGAGAAGCATTGGGTTTTATGAGACATTTCAAGGCAAAAATAAGAAGTGTTTCATTTTAAAAAGAAGAAAGTACATGTGTATTGTCTACATGCTATTTGGTTAATTTTAATTATTTGGCATGCTTTTAAAATCTTTTAATAATGCATATTTTCTTTTTTAGCATATCAGAATTATCTTTACATTCAGCCCTCCATGCCATCAACCTTCATTGCAATAACATCTCCAAGATTAAAGCAATTGATCATGTTTGGAATTTACGACATTTAGATCTGTCATCTAATCAAATAAGTCAAATTGAAGGGCTAAGCACACTGACAAAACTATGCACTTTAAATCTGTCCTGCAATTTGATTACAAGAATAGAAGGTTTGTGATTTTCATATAATACTTTACATGAAGAAGATACTTTATGTCTGTTTTTCCCCAAATAGAATGAATATTATCATAAACTTTTGGAAACTGACCATAAGACTCATTATACAAAGTTTTCTTTCAGAAAAGTAGCAAGTTTTTAAAAACTGTCTTTTTTTCAGAATAGCAATAAAATTTGTTTTACTGTTATTAGACTGAATTTGCTTTGAAACGTCTGAAATCATATTGAAATGCTGTTTTTCTCTAATTCTTTAAATCCTATAACAGCTATATTTTATCTTATTTCTAGGACTTGACACATTGGTTAATCTGAGTAGACTGAATTTGTCTTATAACCACATAAGTGATCTTAGTGGTGAGTATATATGCATATATTTTTAAATGCTGAATATTTCCAACATGCCATGGGTTAGCTCAGCATGTTAGAAACCTCCAAATAATAATCGAAGGTTTGATATAGGATCTCATCTAGAGAATGTGCTTCAGTCATGATTCTTTTTTGTTGCTGCCTAAACCACACCTAAGTTAAAAATAGAAAAAAAGACTTGAGTGGCCAATAGCAGAAAAAAGCTTGGATAAGAAGATCCCACTTTAGTGGAATAATTTTTAAATTTTAGATAGTATACAATTATATAGTAGAAATAATGCCAATAGAGCATTCTACAGTGATGAAAATGTTTTATGTTTGTGCTGTCGTATTGCAGCCAGTAACCAAATATGGTTTTGATCCCTTGAAGTGTGGCTAGTGCAACTTGGGGACTGATTTTTGTGTGGGGAAGGGAGCTATACTGGATTGAGCCCAGGGCTTTTACATTGAGCTGTATTCCCAGTCACCCATCCTTTTTTTCATATTTTATTTTTAAGTAAGGTCTCACTAAGTTCCCCTGCCTGGGCTTGAACTTGAAATCCTCCTGCCTTAGCCACTCAGAGTGCTGGGATTATAAGCCTGCACCACCACACAAGGCTTGAATCTTTAATTTTATTTAATTTTGTTTTAATTTAAATATAAGAAGCTAAACATGTAGCTAGTGGCTAATTTGTTGAACAGTGTAGGTATGCACTATTATAAAGAGTTACAAATTGAGGATCAAATAAAAGTTTTTCTATTTAGTAACTCTAAGAAGAGTTAAAAACTTATCTATTTCTTAATTAAAATAATGCAACTGATAAAAGTTTCATGAATATTCTTAGAATTCTCTTAGAACTAGCAAAATTCCACTAATTATCTTTATGATCTTTATCAATATTTGAACAATATTACTCTGTTGGCTTTTCTTCCTCACTAGAAAAACACTGCCCTATGCTATGTGCTTTGTGTACAAAAAATAGAAAGACCTAGTCTATCCCCTTATGCTGAAGTAGCAACTATATTTTAACTTTTTAAATCTTTTTGCCTCTATAAAGACAAAACTATGAGAATCTGTCTCTGATGCTGTTGTGTGATATTGAGCAAGGTATTTTACTCTTTGGATACAGTTTTCTTATCTGAAAACTGTGAATAATGGCTAAGATTGTTCATTCACTCAACAGATACTTCTTGCAGATCACTGTATAAAAATACTGTTCTTCAGTGATGAAAAAACTAACAATAATAAAAAGGTCTTAACGATAACAGGGCTTACATTATAGTTGGAGAAGAAAAACATACCATCATTCCCGTATTTCCACATTCCCATAAGTCAAAGATTTGAACACCTTGCCAAGAAGATACACAAAGGGTATATAAGCACATTTTAAAAAAATTGTTCAGCATCCTTAGTGATTAAGGAAAGAAAAATTAAAACCACAATGAGATAGCACTTCACATCTAGAATAGCTAAAATTTTAAAACTGATGAAGTGCTGGTAAGATTGTAGAACAACTAAAACTTACATACATTGCTAATAAAACTGAATATTGTACAGTCATTTTGGAAAAGAGTTTGGTAGTTTCATTTATCCAAGAGAGGAAATGTCCACACAAACATCTGTATATGATTATATGGCTTTATATGTGATCACGTCTACATGATTGTTCCTAATCTAAAAACTGGAATCAACCCATATATCCAGCAACTGGTGCTACAATTTGGATCTTAATTGGCTCCCTAAATCCCATAAGGTAAAGCCTTTTTGTTAGGCTGTGGCACTTTTGGGTGCTAGTAGAACCTTTCAGACATGGGACCCATTGGAGGAGGTTAGGTCAGTGGGGTGAGGGTACCCTTGAAAGGAATATTTGAACCCTAGCCCCTTTCTGTCTTTGCTTCCCAGTACCATAACAATAGACTTGCTCCACCACGTATTCCAACTATGATGTACCGTGCCACCACAGGCCCACAACAGGCCAAGAGACTAAGGACTGGAACCTCTGAAACTGATCCAGAATAAATCAGTTGATTATCTCAGGTATTTTTTCACAGTGATAGGAAGCTAACACAACTGATAAAGGGATAAAGTATGAAACATCCATATAATGGAATACTACGTGGAACTAAAAAGGAATGAACAGTGATGCCTGCAGAAACACAATCTAAATAGCTAAACAAAAGGAGCCAATGACAGGGCTGCTTTGTATGGTTTTGTTTATATGACATTTTAACAAAGGCAAAGTTACAGAGGCAAAAATCAGATTATTGTTTGCCAAGGACTGGAAATGAGAGAAGGCTGATTACATAGGAACATAAGAGGACCTTTGTTTGAGAGTGATGAAAATGTTCTTAATATTGCAGGTCTAGTGGTAGTTATTGTAGGACTATGTATTTGATGTACCAAACTCTACACCTAATAAGGGTGAGCTTTAGTGACTAAATATCAAACAGTCATGAGGTCTATGAAGAAAAGGTGCAACTCTGTAAGTTTTTATAGATCATTCTTAGAATATTACAATGTTTTATCTTCATAAATACTTCAATAAGTAACTTCTGTGTTAATAGCATACAAAGACAGTAAAGCAAGATCAAGTTTTTCATGTAAGAAAGAAGGCTAATATGCTGGAATGTAGCAAATGGGGTTATGTGCAAAGCAAAAGAAGTGGCAAGTATGTTGAGGACAGGTCAGTATAGCTTTATAAGCAGGATAAGGAGTTTTAATCACATTTTATTCTAATGACTAGGAAGTCACTGGAAAGAATTACACAAGGATGTGACATAATTTGTGTTTTGTTTTGTAAAAGTGGGATTTGAACCCAGGTCCTTTGCAATTATTTGAGCTAATTCTCCAGTCCTTTTTTATTCTCTATTTTCAGACAGGGTCTTGTTAAGTTGCTGAGGCTGGACTCAAACTTATGATCCTCCTGCCTGACACCCCCCACACACACCCCAGAGTGCTGGGATTACAGATGAGCACCACTATGCCCAGCATAGTTTATGTTTCTAAAGATCATGGCTGTTGAGTAAAAAGTATATTTTAGGTGGATAGGAGAGGAAACACAGGAAAGCAAAATCAAAGATAGTTACAAGTTTTCTCTAGATTTACAGGTGATTGATGGTACTGTTGATTGATATAAAAAAGATTGAGAGAGGAGCAAGTTTAGAGACAGGGGATGTGAAATAAAGATCCTATCTTAAGTTTGAAAATACTATTGAATGTACATATATATATATGCATATAATCTGCAGTTAGAGTGAGGTGAGTTAAGAGGTCATGGTTAGAATTATAGATTTGGCAGTTAAACAACACAGAATGGTGTTTGTGGTCATGAAACTATGAAGAGTTTGTAAAAAGGGGACCTATGAATGAGCCATGGGATACTCTGAAATTGAAACATAACCATAAACCTGAAACATAAAAGGAAGATCTAGTAACATGAAACAGGGACTTATAAATGAGGTGGTTATGTGTTCTGTACCATGTACCAACTCCACACTAGGAATGTAAACATGTGCAAAATTAAAAGGAAAGAGATCAAGAGATAGAGGAAGGAGGGAAGGGAAAGGGGTTGAAAAAGAAATTACTGTACAGTATGTACATGTACCAACTTCCCACACAAATGTAAACGTGCACTACACCCATACTAATAAAATAATATTCAACATTTAACTTTACTGATACAAGGTTTATTAGATATATCCACTCAGAGTAAAGTCTTATGAATACTACTACTCCTTTGCCTCAAAAGGAATTTTTCTTTCCTATTACAGGGTTGATGCCCCTTCATGGACTTAAGTACAAACTTAGATATATTGACCTCCATAGTAATTGTATAGACAGTATCCGTCACTTACTTCAGTGTATGGTAGGATTGCACTTCTTGACCAGTCTTATTTTGGAGAAGGATGGAGAAGGTAATCCTGTCTGTCATGCACCAGGTATGAACAATTAATTGAAATATAAGTAAACCTTCTGAAGATCTGCTTGGGTATAAGTTGGCTACAGAAATTGCATTCTGTCATTCATATGCAACTATGAGAAGGCTTTTTTGTAGCATTTCAGTCTGTTATTTCACAGAAAGTTTATTTTTATTTCCTGGCAATCAAGAACCTCAAGTTTCTATAGTTTGAGTTTTTGGTTTTCAGGTTTTCACTTTCATTTTTAAATTAGGTACTTCTTTCAATTCAGTCCCTTCTCCAGCAACTTTATTGGTCATTATTAGAAAGTTTCAGAAATTACAGTTGGGCAAAATTGAAATTCTTCTGTTAGGTTGGACACCAAATTAATGTTAATTTATGAGGCTTCTCATATTTAATTGTCCTTAGGGAAAGTAAATAATTTTGAGTACTTGATAGGTCATATAAATCTTAATTAGTTAATATGTAATTAAAGAAAGGAGGATGCTAAAGCCTCACTTGGGAAATTCTGGTACTTTGAACATATCTGTATCATTCTGATTTATATTTATGTTATTTATGTTTATACGTTTATTTAAAATAAACAAAAGACATGTTCAGCTATCTTCCCAGGATGAACTGCTGCTGGTTTCATGCATTCTTGCTCTAAAGTAATTTTTCAGCGCAGAGATGATTTTAATTTTCAGATCTTCATCAGGATTATTGCATTTGGAAGGGTGAGGGAGTGTTTCTTTTGTTTTTAATGATTACATACTGAAAAAGTTGAATAAGTAGTGTTTATGACAAGTTGATTAGTTGCTTTCTCAGACTAATTTTATCATTTGGGTAATATATGCAATAATATAGTTTACTTTAGAAATAACTAGCCTTTTTTGGTAATCTTTAAATTTTCATTTTGAATGATTTCTTTCCAAGGATACAGAGAAATTATTCTCCAAACTTTGCCACAGCTTAGAATTCTAGATTGCAAGAACATATTTGGTGAACCAGTAAATTTGGCAGATGTAAATTCATCACACCTTCAGTGCTTAGAAGGCCTTTTGGATAATTTAGCTTCTTCTGATTCTCCCCTAAATATAAGTGAAGATGAGGTATAGTATTGGAGTTTTTTCTGATATAAAAAATATTTTCAAATTTTAATAAATGTAAATTTTAAAAGATCTTTGCTTTTCTTTTGTCATAGATCATTGATAGTGTACCATTGGTGACACCACCCATCAAAGAGTTACCCTCCTTGGAGCAGTTTCGAAGTACACCACCAGATGCTGTTTTGACATCATTTTTATCTGTATGTCCACCTTCTGAGCCAGAGAAAATTAAGCATGAAAGCGATTTTCAGAATGAGATGAAACTTCAGAAATTAGATGATCAAATTTTACAGCTTCTCAATGAAGTAACTTCATTCTGTTTTTCTAAAACCCAATATATATTTAGTAAGAAAAAGTAGTTAAAATATAAAGTAAAAATTATGTACAAGCAGACCAAGCAGAAATAATCTATATTGAAGGTATCAAGGCATGTATTTTTGTTTCGTTTTACAGAAATAGGATTCTGTGCAGCAGTAGTAGTAAGGAAGGGGTCAAAAGGTAGCACACATTTTTCACTCATTTTCCCTGTTACTTCACATCTTTGTTATGTAATATCTTTCTTTTGTTCTGCAATACTTCACATTGCTTTTGTCTACTCACCTTTTATGTAAGCCTTAATAATCTCCACAAAGGATACCTGTGTTACTTTGGCCTACAATCTCTTCAGTAACTGATGGATCAAAACTACTTCTAGAATTTACAGCAGGATGCCAAATTCATTTACATAGTTCCTGTTTCAACTTGAAATTCCATCCCAACATGACATCACCTAATTAATCCCTACTTTCCTGAGCTGTTAATCACTTTTTATACATGCTACTTGTTCTCTGGTTTTTAAAATCTTGAATCACAGCTCATAGAATTTATTGCTCTTCAAGCCCTTGATGCAGCATTCTTGCACTGATACATAGTGAATTTTTCCCCCTTTGGATGCAACACTTCCATAGATACAGTGGGTTATTTTGTTTGCCTTCTGCCTGTCCTATATTAGCCAGAGAGACTATTAGTTTAGTATCAAGTTGAATTAGAATTTGTAACAATCCTAGTTCAATCCCTGGTACTAAAAAAATAAGAATTTGTAACAAAATTTTGATGCTCATATTTTTTTTCTCAAAATGAGGAGGTGGAAGGAGTAGAAAATGCTTATGCATTGGCTCTGGTTCAGTGGATTTTTAGTAATCCAAAACTATTATCATATATATGACACTAACAATACTAGATAGAAAGTCTGCCTTTGTCAATTGAGAGTGAATAAGATGTTGAGGATTCTGTGTTAGAAATACCTAGAGGTTTTAGGCTGAGCCACATAGGTGGATAGTAATGGAACTGGGAGAGGAATGCTGGATTACCATTCTTTGACATTACTGATACTGTATGAAACTTTTTAGACTCTTTCATTTCTTCAGGTTTCATCTTTCATTTAACTCTTCTACTACTATCAGAATTTACATTTGAGCTTCATAACTTTAAAATGAAGTAAACTTTAGCATCTCTTAAAGGATATTCTTATTTCATTCTCATGACAAGCCAATGAAGTAAATAGTGAATAATATACTGTTGTCCTTATTATATAGAAAAGAAATTCAGGACTTTCAACAAGACATTACCTAGGAGTACTTTATTGTATCAGTAAGACAAACGAGTTCAAACCCAAATCTGACACCCAGTTGTATTTTTTCCACTCATACTTCTTAATAAATTATCCTTGATAACCAAGAACACCAGTTTAACTATCTGGGAAAAAGTGATTCACTGCTATGCATATTAAAAATGTCTAAACAAATAGCCTCTTGTTTATTGCCTTGGTTAAAAAAAAAAGTAAATGTGCTATTTGAAACACAAGTGATTTTATTTCAAAAGTAGTCATTATAGGGCTGAGGATTTAGCTCAGTGGTGCTGCCACCTGCCTCCCAAGCAAAAGGTTCTGAGTTCAATCCCTGGTACCAAAAAAAAAAGGTCATTATAAATTTATTGTGCTGTACTATAATAAGAATATTTCTTTTTCTTAACCATAGGACTTAAAATCATAACTGTGCCACTAATTTATGGAATTCTACGTCTGAAGGACTGTTTTGCTTTTATTTCTTCCCCCAATATTTTATTTTAAACATTTTCACCCATAGAGCAAGTTTGAGTTTCTTAGTAAACACCAACTGGATACTTCTTAACATTTTACTACACTAATTTCATGATATAGATCTTATCAATCTACCGTATTTATCACTGTCTTATGTTACATTTCAGAGTAAAATCAAACATCAGTATAGTTCTCAAATAATTAAGCATTAACTAGAGTTAATTATTCTTTGAGTTTTCTTTTTATTTAAAATACAGGTGTATTTCATGAATTGTCCATACATATACCCATTACCCAAACTATGAAGATGAACATTATTATCATAGAAAGTTCTCTTCTGTTCCCTCCCACAGCCAATTCTCCCCTGCCATTTCAGAGGAAAATCATTTGCCTGATTATTTTCCTGCCATAGATAATTAATATTTGTTGTAGAGCAGTGGTGTTGAACCCATGGCACATGTGGTGAGTGGGGCTGTTTGTATCACTGAAAGCTCTAAAAGGTTCACCATCCCTGCTCTAGAGCCTAATAAAACAGAATTATATAATGTGTTCTTTCTTGTAAGGCTTTCATGCAGCATGATCTTGTTTATATTAACCCATATGTGTATGAGTAGCTTTTTATTTGTGTATAGTATTCCTTGTATGAATATATCATTATCCTGTTGATGTAATAACCATTAGGTTATTTTAGGTTTGTAATTAAGCTGCATGAACATTGCTATACAAGTGTCTTTGTGAACATGTCTTCTTTTCTCTCTGGTTAACACCTAGAAATGAAATTTCTCAGGTATAGGGGAGGTGTATGTTTAGTTTTATATAAAACTACCAAAGGTTTTTTCCAAAGTGGTGTCCCATTTTACTTCCACTAATAATATGTGACTGCCTTGTTTATGTCCTCACCAGTATTTGGTATTTGCTTTGATTTTACTTTTAGCCATTCTGCTGAATGTATACTGCTGTTCATTTTCATTTTAATTTGCAATTCCAGAAATGAATAAAGCTATTGAGCACTTTTTTCTCATGCTCATTAAATATTCATGTATTTTTTTAAAGTGTCTCTAAAACTTTTGTCTATTTTTATTGGATTATTTATTACCAGATTGTAGAAATGTGTTAATATATCCTGGATACCAGTATTTTGTCAAATACATCTTGTGGGAATATTTTCTTCCAGTCTGTTGGGCACATGTTTTATGTCATTAATGGTATTTTTTAAGCAGCAGTTTTTAATTTTGATATTCTTAATTTCATGTTTTCTTTTATGTTTATTGCTTTGTGAGTTTAAAAACTTTCATGTATCCTCAAGTAACAAAGATATTCTGTTACATTATTTTGTAAAAGTTTTACGGTTTGTTTTTTTTTTTTGGTTTTTTTTGTTTTGGTTTTCTTTGTTTTTTTGGTACCGGGGATTAAACTTGTCTCCTTGCGCTTGCACAGCAGGCGGCGAAACCACTGAGCTAAAACCCTGGCCCAAGTTTTACGTTTTTATCTTTTGTATTTAGGTCTGTCTATATGGTAGGGATTAAAGTTCATTCTCTTTTTCCATATGTGTATTCAGTTATTGCAGCACCATTTTTTGACAGGCTTTGGTGTCTTTATTTGAATATGTCAAATAACTTTACAAATTGTAAGATCTAGCTTTAGGCTCTTTTTTATTTATCAGCTTTTGAAATTGTATTTTAATTTCTGTAGACTGTAATGAAAATCTCTTTCATTACTTATTCCCTCTATCTACACCCTCATCCCCACAACCCCAATCAGTTTACCTATGAGTTTTGTTGATCATTTCAGAGAACTTTTCGCTTTAACTTTGTCTGTTGTTTTCTATATTGTTGATTTCTGTTTTTTATTGTATTTATTTTGAATTTAATTTGTTCTTTTTCTAGTTTATTGATAAGCCCTTAAGTCATTTCATTTTAGACCTATCTTCTAGTCATTTAAAGCAATATATTTTCCTCTGAGTATTCCATTAGCTGCAATCTACAAATTTTGAGGTTTTGCTTTCATTATTACTTAGAAATGTTTTCTAATTTTTCTTACAATTTTTCCTTGATCCAAGGATTATTTAGAAATATTTTTCATTAATTTTCACATATTTCTGCTTCTATCAATATGTTATTGGTATTTTATTTTGTTCAGAGAACATATCTGAATTTCAGTCTTTTTAATGTATTGAAACTTATTTAATATCCCAGCATATGATCTATGTGGGTATTCTTTGTGGTCTTATAAATAATATCTGTTCCATAGTTGTTAAGTCAGGATATTTGACAGTATTTTCCGGTAATCCATATCCTTAGTAATTTTCTATCTGGTTCTGTCAGTTGCTGATTCTTATTTTTTGGTTGTGGGGCTTTTATTTTTTCTTATTTCATCTAGTTTTATGAATTGATACATGAGTGATATTAAAATATCTAATTATGATTGTGGATCTGTCAGTTTCTCCCTCTAATTCTTTGAGCATTTGCTTCTTAGGCTTTGAATCTTTTATTAGACATGTACACATTTATGACTTCTTTGTCTTTTTTGATGAATTGACCCTTGAAGCACATTTTTGTTGGGTATAGAATTATAGATTGATAATTTTTTCTCTTTTATTACTATCTCCTGACCTTCATAGTTTTGAGTGCTAAGTCAATACTGTTTCAAAGCCTTAATTTCTTGGATGTAGTGGTATCATTTTTCTTTGGCTGTTTTCAAGACTTCATCTTCATTTTTGTTTTTTAGCAGTTTATTTTTAGCAATTTGGCTACATGTACCTTAAGGATAATTTTTTTCTTCCTATTTATCTTGCTTGCAGTTTGAGATTCTTGAATATATAAATAATTTATGTTCTTACCCAATTTGGAGAATTTGGATATATTTTCTTCAGATATGTTTTCTGCCTCATTCTATTTTTTTTTAAGATTCCTCTTTGACTTTTTGATATGGCCTCATCATTTCCCAAGGCTTTTTACATTTTATCAGCATTTGTCTTTATTCTTTATACTGAATAATTTCAACTCCAAGTTCTCTTTTGCCTCATTCTGATGGTACTCATCCCAGGGAATTTTTACTTCAGACATTGTATTTTTTAATTGTATCATTTTCATTTCTTTTATTTCTGTGTCTGAGCTGATTTATCATTTGTGACAGACATATTTTCTTATTATCTCATTGAAAATAGCTATGATTGGGCGAGGGATTTAGCTCAGTGGCACCACACCTGCCTCGCAAGCACAAGGTCCTGATTTCAATTCCCAGTACCAAAAAAAGAGAAAGAAAATAGCTTGAATCACTATTTTAAAGTTATTGTCTCCTAATTCAAACATTTGGGTCATCTCAGATTCAGTCTGCAATGCTTGCCTTTCCTCTTCAGGACAAGTCAGTTGTTTTTATGGTGAGTAATTTTAGATTGTATGCTGGACATTGTGAATGTTATGTTGTGGTGACTCCAGGTTCGGTTATAATCCTTCAAAGACTGACAGTTTTGTTTTTAGCAAGCATTTAATTTGATTTGCCTTAAACTACAATCTTTTCTCTTAAGCAGAAGTTCAAATTTCATTTTACTGCTTGTGTCTATTAGTGGGCTATTTGTAGTCTTTCCCATGCTGCACTTTTGTTCTTCATGCCCAGAAGTCTGTATTTGCTACTGGAGATCATTAGACTCCCTCCATGGTACTGATTGTGATGCAGGGAGACTGAGAGGCTAAAACCCTTAGAACAGAATCACCCCATTCTCGTGCATTTTTCCAAGTGTCAGCTTCTATCTAGAGAAATCCTCCTTTTGTTCACTTTCCAAGGGCTTCAGATGGTTTTTGTTTAGGTTTTTTGTTTTTGTTTCATTTGTATTTTCCTAGAGTTTGTAATTATTATCCATAGGAGAATCAAACTGGTATAAGCTTACTTGTCCATGCAAGAAATGAATTCTTTAATTTTTAACATAAGTAGTTTATTAACCCTGAATCTTACAAAAAGTCTTAATATTTACAAAAAATTTCAAGTTTTAATTTTTATGCTGAACTTTACTTTTAACAAAGTTTGTCTTATTTTTTTACTCTAGACTTCTAATTCTTTAATAGATAATGTTCCTGAGAAAGACCTCAGACCAAAAAGAAACACAGATATAACTTCTGAAAGCGACTATGGAAACAGAAAAGAATGCAACAGAAAAGTTCCTAGAAGATCAAAAATTCCATATTATGCCAGAACTATTCAAAGTATTAAGCACCACAATAAAAACAGCAGTGCTTTTGGAAGGTACTTGTTTTGGTTTTAGAATTCAAATAAACAGCTAGGTTCAATCCAGGTTCAAACAGAATAAACTCAAACAAAATAAACAGCCAGGTTTAATCACACACACCTATAATCCTATCAGCTCCAGAGACTGAAGCAGGAGATCTAAAGTTTGAGTCTGGCCTGGGCAACTTAGTGAGACCCTGTCAGAGAATTGCAAAAAAGGGCTGGGGATATAGCTCACTGTAAAGGCCTTGGATTCAATTCATAGTACAGAAAAGAAAGGAGAGGAGAAAGAAGGGAGTTCCAAGTAAAGGAATGCACAGGAGTTTATTTGGATTCTTCTTTAAACTGTCTCATTGTGATAAACGTACCATTTTACTAACATCAGAGATACTCCTTTTTGGGTTTGTCAGCTCTGATTTTATTCTGCATCCATGGTTTCAGCCGGTTGCTAATCAAAAGTATTTGAAAAGAAAGTTATATTGTTACATAAGGCCTACAATGGTTGCTCTATACTGAACATGTACAGACTTTTCTATCTTGTCATTGGTCTCTGAATAATAACATGTTATAACTATTTACATAGCATTTATGTTGTACTGAGTATTGTAAGTTATTTACAAATTATTTAAAGTATACTTAAGGAAGTGTTTAGGTTATAGATGACTATTATACCATGTTGTATGAGGGTCTTGAGCATCCGTGGAGTTTATATCTGAGGTATCCTGAAACCAATTTCTGCAGAAGCTAAGGGATGACTGTGCACTTACAAAGGATCACTTTCTCTGTCACTACCAAAAATGAGAAATTAATGTATAAAATGCATTCTTTTACTGTGAGAAATAAGATTGATACACTTAAGTTTACATGACTAGGCTTTTCTCTCTCTTTCGGCTGATTTAGATGGGAAACCAAGCCCTTGTTAGACTGCACTTACTAAGCTTAGAACAAAAACTGAATAAGATGATTGTGTTTAATGACATCAGGGTAAGGGAGACTGATGTCTGTACTTTCACAATTGAGATCATCATGATAGTTTTTCAGAAATTATTGTACTCTGGGATGGGTACAATCAACTTTTTACCTGTGTAATTCTCCTTCTTGAAAGTGTATTGTTATTTTATTATTATTATTATTATTTTTTGTGTGTATTGTTATTTTAACTTTTCCATAGCTATCCAATCATATTGTTATTTACACAATCATTCAGTTCAATTATAGTGAGGATATATCCTGAAATTTCTTCAGTCCCTGGCTAGTGATGTAATCTATTTTCTCTGTTACGTGTTAATTTTAAACTTTAAGCTTCCAAAGGGCGATTACTGTATTTACCATTTTTGCAATTCTTGTGTGTCATCTTACCATATTCCCAAGTACCAACAATATTTTTTTGAAATTCTGATATATCCAAGAAGTCTATACCATCTGAATGTATTCAGCATTTCCACTTATAGATTCATTTTAAAAATGTGAGGCACTAGTTATCAATCAACATAGCACATCCATTATAAAATTAATGACTTTTTTTTTTGAGACAGGATCTCACTACGTAGTTCAGGTTGGCCATGAACTCACTGTGTAGCCCAGGCTGGCCTCAAACTCATGGCAATCCTCCTGCCCTCAGCCTCCCATGTGCTTGGGATGACAAGCATAAGCCACCACACCTGGCAAAAGAATTCATGACATTTTTTTCAAGTTAATATTCTATTTAATATCCTTTTTCTAAAAAGCCATTTACAAAATGAGTAAAAATTTTACTACTAGAGAACAGTATAAACAGTGTACTTTTCTTTGGGTTATTTTTTGTGTTTTATTCTTTGCAGTTGTAACCGTAAAATGAAACAACCTTACTTTAAGGACTTATACATAAGCTCATCCTTAGCAAACTGTAATGTATTACAAGAATCAGAAGACCAAAAGACTGAATTAATTAAAGTAGACAAAAGTGGCTCAGAAGACAACACTTACAGGGTATGATTTTAAGAGATTTTTAAAAAATTAGTGTGAATAATCTTAGTTTTTAAGTTCAGAGTCTCAAAATTTAGGCATGCTTTTATGAGCAAAAAATATCGTGAGTAATTTAAATGGATTGATGAAAATAGGTTATTTTTCTCTTCTTGATTTCCAGGTTTTGTATTATACAACTTTTTTGTAATTTTTAAAGGAATAGAAATGACACATTTAAGATCAAGAAGTCATTTGCTACACATTTATGGAGGGAGAAACAGCGCTTGTTTCCAATTCATGCTGGGTGTGGTAGCATGGGCCTATAATTCCAGCACTCAGGAAGCTGAGGAAACAGGATCGCCATGGGCTCAAGGCCAGCATGGGCTACATAGTGAGTTCAAGGCCAGCCTGAGCTACATAGCAATACCTTGTCTCAAAAAACCAAAATAATAAATAAAGTTTCCAATTCTTATTTCTTAAAGTAATGGTTCCTAGCTTTTTTGGCTGTCAGGAAATCTACAGGTTTTCTCAAAAAAATCTACTTTTAGGCATACTGAAAAGAATTGTATATAATTTCAAAGTTTTACTGGACTGACCTGAAACCCAATTTTGGACAAAAATTAAGAGGTGTTCAGAAATTTTTAAATTACTCAATATTTGCTTGAACAATTCTCATGTTGTTGAGAATTTTTAGTACATGTTGTATTAACTTGCTCTTTACTTGTTGGAGTACTGGTTGTTCTATTGATTGTACTGTGCACTTTTCTTTCCAGTAACAGTTGCCTTGCACCTTTGGTACTACTGGTTTTCTTACTATTTTCCTCTTATTCTCAACTATAGGGACTAAGTATTGAGAAAAATAACTACTATCATTATGACAATAATAATAGAAGTTAGCATTTCTTGTATGGATATTATGTGCCAGACACTGTTCTCCACTATTCTATACTTTTTACTTCTATTAATTTTTTAAATTCTCACCAGAGCTCTTTGAAACAAATATTATTATTTCCATATACAACTAAAAACGTGGAGATAATAAGTTAGGTAACTTTTCCAAGTTCACTTAATATTTTTTTTCAGTCTCTAGTTGAACAGCTGGACCAAGAGAGAGAAATGAGGTGGAAAGCTGAAGAAGCTGAAAAGAACCTTATGGATTACATTGATGAGCTGCGTAAACAAGCAAGTGAAAAAAAGGATGTTCATAGCCTGGCTCTTCTTACCACAGATAGGTAGGTAAGGTGAAAGCATACACAATAAACTTAAATTTATCTCATAGTAGCTATAGTGTGATAAAAATATGATGTTTATTTGATTGGGAGATTACAGTGCTTTGTTAACTTGTTACAAGAGAAATAGGTACATTTATTTTATCCCTTAAGCTGAGAAGTATCAGATAGTAAGTATTACAAGTAGAGAACAATGAGACTAAACAGGGGTTGTCTAACTTTCCATAATGTGCAACTTCTGGCAATACTTTTTAGGCTTTGTAGATCCTTTTGATCTCTTGTCACATACTCATCTTTTGCAATGGCCTTTGATACCAGATTGCTCAGGTTTCTTAATTCTGTTCTTGTTTTTCCTTCATTCTATCTCCTATATCTTTTTTTTTATTCCATTCTTTAAGTCCTTATTCTATTCTGTAAATTACTATAATTTTTTTGTTTCTAAAATTATTTCTGAAGTTATGCCATTTTCAAATTATTATAGGATTTTCCCATGGAGTTCTTGTTGGTTTTTGTTTCTTATCCTTGAAGGAACACTAGATATCTAGATTTGGTACTTTGCACAGATAAGGACTGGAAGTTGCTGGTGGTTCCTTTTCTTGTCTATACAGTGGATAATTCCCATTGTAAGATCTCATTTGAATAGAAAGTTGATATATACAGCTCTCAGCCTAACTCCATTTATTTTATGCATTTACTAGTAAAGTTTGGTACTGATGCGGTATTTTCTGCCCCTTACCCATTTCTCATATCTGTTATACCCATGTTATATAAGGAAAATTACAATACCTAACATGTACCCTATGAGATCCTCTGTAATTATGCAAGTTGTGATACATAATGCTATCACTAGTCCTGCCTCCATCACCCACCTTCCTTCCTATATTAATCAGATTTCCTGTTGCTAGGACAGAATACATAGCATCACAATTTAAAGAAGAGGTTTATTTTGGCTCATGGTATCAGAGAGTTCAGTCCATGATCCGCAGGTTCCAAGTAGAAATGGCATGGTGCAAGGGCCTAGCAGAGGAAAGCTACCAAACCCATGGCAATCAGGAAGCAGAAAAAGAAAGAAGGGCCATAGATGTACCATCCAAAAGCATATCTCCAGTGATCCACCTGCTCCAACCAGCCCCTACCTCCTAACAACACATCAGTTGTGGACTCAAGGATTAATCCACTGATGAATTTAATGCCCTGTAATCCAACCATCTCCTGAAAGCTCCACTCTGAAAACATGAGACTTTTAGGGGACATTAAAGATCTAAATCATAATACTACTTTATTTGTATTTGGGGAATTGCTATCTGAATTAATGAAAGAAAATAATGGACAGGGATGAAAACAGGATGGATAAATTGGTGGTGCTCTGATTGCCTCAGAAAAACAGCACTTGCTTGCAGTAGGTGCACAACCAGTATGTTATAACTAATTTATGGAGGCCTGTGACAGAGACATGGAAAGATAATGGCAGAAAGAGGGAAGATTTGTCTTTTTTTCAGAATGAAGCAAAGTTTGTTTCAGAGTTATTTTTGTTTAAGTTTAGTTGTGTGTGCTTTCTAATTGAAATTCCTCCCAGATTTTGGCCTTATGTTATCTTTTTTTTTAGCTATGTAGGAATGAATTTTTCCTTTATTCCACTTTGTAGGTATTATTTAATGGAATATTAGAAGAAGCTGTGTCTGAGGCTCCTCATCAGATTCGGTTTTATTTTAAAGGATTATGTCATACTTTATTTTCTTTATAAATACCTGTCTGTCTTACCCATATTTCCTTGAAAATATTTATTGTTCTCTTAAAAAATCAACCTTAATCTTTTCTGACTATTTTTATTTAAACTCATATTTGTTTGTGATGGTACCTTCATCAATCTTACTATTCCCATATATGGCTTGGTAGGGACTGCATCATTTGTACCTAATATAGGATCTAGCATTTAAGTGCCATACTATATGTTGGCTTAAATGAATTTTATCTAATACGGTATCCATTGTCCAGATCTCTCTGATGAACAGATTTGTTCATAAGTGACTCGAATCTTCACTTTGTTGTAAGCATTAACACCAAGTACAGTTTTTATCATTTTTATATGTGTGATGTATTTAACGCCATATATAATTTCTGCTTTAGACTACAGGAGGTTATTTTTAAGGAGAGAAATTCTAAGGCACAACTTGAAGTTATGGTTCACAAACTTCAAACTGAAATTAAAAAACTAACTATTGAATTAATGAAAGCAAGAGATCAACAGGAGGGTCATATTAGACACTTAAGAACCCTGGAAAAAGCATTAGAAAAAATGGAGAGACAAAAAGGGCCGCAGCAAGCAGCACAGGTATTTTTCTCTTTTAATGTATCTCTGATGTGGGTTAACACAAATTCATAGCTTCTATCCTGAAACAAATTAATATTGTATAGTAAGCCTGAAAGGTATTAGACTATTGGCAAAAAAATTAAATTATGTAACAGTTGTGTAACCTGTTGAATTATGTCTAAATTAAGGCTACCAGTGCTTACACAAAGCAATTCTAAGAGTTGGTGGAAATATTGCAGATAATTAAGCTTATATTTTGAGAGCTAGTTTTTTGAAAGTACTTGGAATGCTTGAAATAACTTTCTTTTTCATGCTGAGTGGAAATTCCCATCAAAATTGGTGATGCACCTGAGCAGTAACTAATCCCAATACATGCAGTATTTCAATGGCTACATTTTTTTGTAACCATAGCATTGTTGATTTAATTTTGAAAATCAACATAATCACTAGGCCCTGTAATTTATAAAGCACAATTTTTATGATAACTGACATTAAAATAGAATCTGGGAAATTATTATCTAAGTACTATAACTATGTATACTTTACCCAGATGAGACTTCTCCAAGAGGTGGAACTCAAAGCTGCAGCTGCTGAAAGAGAAATAAACTTACTTCGAACTTCTCTTCACCAAGAAAAGCAGCAAGTACAACAACTTCATGAATTGCTGGCATTGAAAGAACAGGAGCGCAGGTAAATAAAAAATATATTAGAAAAAACACTGACATTTAAAAATAGAGGTACAGGAGGCTTCCAGGTAGGCGTGCAGCAGCTCCCAGCCCAGAGAAGACTTCCGGGTTGGTGTGCCTTGGCTCCCAGCCCAGAGGAGACTTCCGGGTTGGCATGCCACAGCTCCCAGCCCAGAGGAGGCTTCTGGGTCAGCGCGCCACGGTTCCCAGCATAGAGGAGGCTTCCAGGTAGGCATGCTGCAGTTCCCTGCCCAGAGGAGACTTCCAGGTTGGCATGCCAAGGCTCCCAGCAGAGAGGCCTCTAGGTCACCGTGCCACAGCTCCCAGGCAAGAGGAGGCTTCTAGGTAGGCCTGCCAAGGCTTCCAGCATAGAGGAGGCTTCTGGGTAAGCGTGCCACAACTCCCAGCCCATAGGAGACTTCCAGGTTGGCACGCCATGGCTCCCAGGCAGGAGGAGGCTTCCAGGTAAATGTGCCGTGGTTCCCAGCACAGAGGAGGCCTCCGGATTGCCGTGTCACGGCTCACAGCCCAGAGGAGACTTCCGGGTCGGCACGCCACAGCTCCCAGCATAGAGGAGGCTTCAGGGTAGGTGTGCCGCAGCTCTGAGCACAGAGGAGGTGAGCCGCATGGGCACCAGGAACACCCCCGCCCCCACGTCAAAATGAGAAGACAGGTAAACAAGCCTCAGAACCAGACTTCCAGATGACCTACAGCAAACCCACAGGGAAATGAGATGGAACAGTCTGATAGTCAACCACCTGGACTCCCTGGACTAGCAACGAAAGAGGATCTGGAAAAAATGAAATCAGAAATAATTTCTCACACCACAGCAAAGATTGTGCCCATAGTACAAGACATGATAATCTAGAGAGGATACAGATAAAAAGATAGAGGAGCTGAGGAACATGATGGAAACCTAACATAGGAAACAAATGGAATCCATAAAACAGATGCAAACAGATTTCCAGGAGATTACAAATTCCATTGAAAGTCTATGCACCAGAATGAGCCAATGTGAAGACTGAATTTCAGATACAGAAGATAAGATTTCAGTTACTGACCAGGAAAAGAAAAAATTCTTTAAAATTCTAAGGGACCATGAGACATCAATCCAGCAGCTGCTAGATGATGCAAAGAAAAATAACAAGACTGATTGGAGTCAATGAAAAAACAGGAGAGAGTGCAGATGACATAAAAAACTATTTACAGAAGTGATGGCAGAAAACTTCCCAAGCAGGGGAAAGAATTTGACATACAGATAAAGGAGGCATATAGGACTCCAATTAGCCTTGATCAAAAAAAATCTACACATAGGCATATAATTGTTAAGATTCCAGAAACCCAACAGAAGAACAAAATTCT